CCCCAAAACCCCAAAACCCCAAAACCCCAAAACCCCAAAACCCCAAAACCCCAAAACCCCTAGAAAATTTGCTAATGCAGAAATTTAAATATAAATAAATTTGCAAAGCGCCGTAAATATGGAAGTACATAAGAACATGATAGGCCAAGCTATTTCTATAGACCCTCTCTTGAATAATTCACCCACACAGGGGGACATATCTGCATCCATGATTCAAATGTCACCATGCGATGAGTCTGACAGTGATTTCGATGAGGAGCAATTCGCTAATGTTGATGAAGACGTTATCAATGTTGCTGCCTTTGGGATGCAGGAACTAAATTGCCCCTCCTCAAATGTCGTTACACAAGAAGAGATTTTTGAAAATCATAAAATTAAGCATCCTAGTGAGAGAAGAGACACTTTCATGCCCAGTAATCATTCTAAAGAGGATGATATTCACTCGTCCAGTAATTTAACTGACAAAAATGCCACAAAGAGCTTTAAACAGGTGAGTATTTGTCTTATTCTCTGACTACTCTAACTTATTCTAGAATGAGAACCAAAGGTATCCAACTTTGATCAAGGAGGAAGGAAGTGGATCTCTCATATCAAATAATATCTCCCGCATTAGAGATAGTTCAAATTCCAAAAAGACTCCCTTAAGATTTAAGGAGGATCAAAATACAATTACCTTCGATATGAGTCCAGATATAGAACTCAGCTACAAATCACCTAGCAAGGAAGGCCATAATCAAATATCATTAACAAAGTTAAGTGGGATGAAAAGTAGCGACAAAGAGAATTCTTCAGTCAAAAAGCATCAGAAGAGATCACCTAGCTACAAGACTGCCACCAAAACTCAGATCAAGAACTTCCTGAATAATATAGAATGTATGGGCAAGAATGCAGAGTAAGAATTCTTCACATTTTGGGATTTATTTCTTCATAAACAGATAAAAACCACTTTTCTCTAACCTTAGATGACCCATCAAACCATTAAGGGTATAGAAATATCTCAAATCGCTGTGACTTGTTAAATGAAGTATGCAGGAAGCCGGGCTTATTGCCTTCTAACCTGTAGACTGCACCTATATGTCAAAATTAAGGAAAACTTGACTGGTTTGAGAAATATTAGCTCCCTTTAATAATTATCTGTCATCTTAGGATAGATATTTAGCACCCAAACATGAGATTTAGGCATAAAGCTAGTTTCATCTTTCATAGCATTGATAAAAGACATTTCACATTTGTAAATTTATCTTAGTTTGAATTCTAGAGAAAAATATGAATTTAGTTTTCTCAGCAATAGAATAGTGGAATATAAGTACTAATAGCTACTTTAGCTCCAAAAATGGGAAAAGCATAAATAATGCAGGATCGCACTTGAAAAGTACTTCAAAGTATAATAGCCCTGGTTATGCAAGCAGTTCTTCAAGGATTTCTAACCTTAGCAAGCGTAGAGTAAAGCCATCTAAAATGAAAACCTCCAAATCTTCTTTATGTATTAGTGCAAAAGATCGAGGGAGAAATAAAAGCTCTGTGAACAAAACAATTTCTCTTCATAAGCCTGAGACTGATGAACTCAAAATGAAATGATACCAGAAAGCCAAGCAAATGATGCTCGATGGTGGCATCATCCCAACTAATGTCGATAAATAACTACATTGCACCCAAGAAGCGCCTCTTGTCAAGCTCTAAAGGCAGAAAGACTAGCCAGGCTTCTCCTCCAAAGTTCACACCGTTTCCTAACAAGTATTCCAAGAACAACATCAGAGAAGCGCTTTACCAGAAAGAGTCCAAAGAACTCGAAGTCATCAAAGAGTGAACATTCAGTCCCCACATTTCATACCCGAACCCAGATGTACGAGATGCAGACACTTTCTACAGCGATCAGCAGCTTCACGAGCGAGCCAAGATCGCCAAGCTGTGTCAGAAAGACCGCCAACACAGACTGGCTGAGAAGGCCACCCACAGGCCGTTCTTAAGCAAGCTTTCAAAAGAAATGGCTCAGAAATCAAGAACAGACCAGCCCGTTCATGAGAAGCTATACTCGGAGGCGCAACGCAGCGACAAGAAGCTTCAGGAAGGAGTAGGAGTGCTCATGACCATCAAGGACTCGTACAAACGAAGCAAGCCTAGCAGTTCCAGAGGCACTTCCATCGATGAGTACTTGTACAATGATGCTTTGTTGCGCAAATAAGTCGAAGGAACGAAACTGCAGGCGAACAGCTCCAAAGCAGACAACCTCGATGTCAAGCAAGGCATCAGAGAAGTATGCCATGGACAAGCTCGTCAAAGAGATCACCCACTACTGGGCCATGATTGTCAGAGACCACAGTAATAACGATCTTAACAGCCATGATGGACACAGTTTCGTAGGCTCAGGCACCTCAGGTAACTCTGAACCATCAAATGCAAGTGCTGGATACAGACTCGACCTGAGTGAAACTGCACTGCTTCTGACATCTCTGGGGTATTTGTCAAAGTCATCCACAGAATGTGGCCATGAGAGAGACTTGTTTTACGAATTGTGGACATTGCTCCGAGGAGAACACTCAGCTGGAATCACTCTGGCTACTGCCAAGACCATCTTGCTCACAATCGAAGGACTCCACAAAGGCTCCACAGACGACGGGTCCATTGAACATCCACGCCATGTGCAGAATATCGGCCAGATCATGAACAGCGACAACTCCGACTGTGTCATTACGAAGAAGCAGGCTCTTGCAATACAAAAGTCTTTTAGGAGGCTGGCGCTGAACCGTATACAGAGTAAGCCCAAGGGAGGCCTGATCAAGTCAGAAGGATTGATCAAGGACGAGTGAAGCTTTAAGCCAGAAATAAGTTCGAAGACAGCAAGGCTGGCGAACAGGAAGGGACCATCATCATATAGGATCCAAGAGTCGATTAATTCGACATCCCAGAAGAATCAAGAATGGAGGGAGAAACAGATGGATAAATTGATGAAGCTCAGAATGAGAGAATGAACATTTACTCCTGAAATATGTGAGAACAATCATGCTTCTTCTAAATTTATGGGAGAAGGATATAAATAGCGCTCACAAATCTACTGCGAGAAAAGTACGTCCGTCTAGCCAGAACAAATATTGAAGGAGAACCCAACGGTTTAAACCCTTGATGCATAAAAGCCAAACATCTGCAAAATTTGATGTTGTAGCTACCCCTCATACCAAGAGTAATTCTAATGACAAAAATATCCCACATGAACAAACTGATTCAAGTGATCCAGAGAATGCTAATAAGAACACTAAAACTTCAGAGATTGATACTGAAAAGAGAGATGTCTCTCCTAATCAAGACTTAACAGATGTTCAAAATGCAGGAAACTCCTTGCAAAACAATTTAACAATCAAGGATCCTCTTCAAACTATCTCTGATAAGTGACCTCCAAAGGATTTGCTTGGGCCAAGCACTACTGAAAGAAAAGACTTTTTCAAATCTGTTTATAATCTTGAAGACCACTTACTCGATTTCGTCAACGGTAAATCCTCAAAATCAACCAAAGGGGACAACGAAGAGTCCAAATCAGATGCAAACTCAGGAGAGACTCCAGTCATTGAACACTGTGAAGAGCTTGAAGATTATGAGAAATCAGATAGTAACAACCAAGATCAATTGTAATCTTAAGGACTTAACTATTATAGAGATATGCTCCAGAAAATCTTTAACGACAGCGGACAGCCAAAAGACAATGAAAATGAGATAGAGACAAGGACTTCAGAGTTCCCTCAACAAGTTCAAAAGTAATATATGATCATAATCCTGTAGACAGGCTACTTTCGGAGGTTGAGAAGAAGTACCTCAGGAACAGAAAGTTGAAGAGGAAGACCATAAAACCACTTTTGAAGACATGAGTTTCTCGAAATCTGAAGAAGTTCCTCAGTCGATAAATCCCTCAAGTTTACCCCCAGTGCCTCCTAAGACTCATAGTCCCTTACTTTTTGTTGATGTGAATCTAGGTCCTTCCAGAATGGAACGAATAGTGGTTTATGAAGGTGATACAGCAACTGCCCTTGCTGAAAAGTTTACTAAACAGCATAACCTTAACCCATTAATGAAACAGAAGCTAATAGAGCTCCTAAACTTTGAGATATCAGGAATTTTGGAAAGAATTGATGAGGAGAACAGCGACTTTTGATCTTCCGAAAGCTTCAACAGTAGCTTCCAAAATAATAATTTTTAAGAAAATTCAATATTTAGTAAAATAAAAGGGGTTTTGGGGTTTTGGGGTTTTGGGGTTTTGGGG